TAATCACTGCATAATGCCTCACACTAATATATAATAAGGATTGAGTAATTACAAATAGAAAGCCAAAAAAAAAAAATCCAAAATATCTCCATAAAACTGTAGAAAATTAAAGCAATGAATTGTCACATCTCAAATGATGTCTAAATTTTTAGACATTATATTAACGCTAATTTTATTATTTAATAAGATAGGATTTGATGTAGGAGCATACTTGAATTTGGGAGGTGGCCTACGTGGATTGGACCTCGAAGAAGTGCCTGAGGCCGTTTGTTTGATGTGCCCACAGATTCGTAAGGGACTCTTCAAAGTAAGGGCACAAACAAATAGTGCTTGGGATAGATTCTCGAGTCTAGTCCTGGGTGATATTTAAAGGATTTGATTGCATCTTTCCCATAAGTTGCAACTTTTGGGAGGAATAGTTGCGTTAATCCTACATCAATTGGTATCAGAGCATGAGGTCTCAAGTTCAAGTCCCCATGGATGCGCCCTGAAGGGGACATTTTTCTAAGGACGGAAGAATGATACAAGAGTATACTTGAACTTGAGAGACAACTTATGTGGTGTGGGCCTCGAAGAAGCGCCTGGGGCCGTCTGTTGGGTGCGCCCACAGATTCATAAGGGATTTTTCAAAGTAAGAGTTCAAACGAATAGTGCTTAGAGTGGATTCCCGAATTTAGTCATGGGTGATATTTAAAAACTTTAATTGTGCCTCTCCCATTAGTTGTAACTTTTAGGAGGAATAATTGTGTCAATCTTACATCAGACACAAAAATAAAGTAATAAATTGTCACAGCCCAAATGACGTCTAAATCTTCAAACGTTGTCTTTCTCATTAGTGTCAATTTTTAGGAAGAGTGGTTGCTTCAATCCTACATCAGACGCCAAATTAAAGCAATAAATTGTCACAGCTCAAATGAGGTCTAAATCTTCAGACGTTGTATTAACGCTGATTTTGTTCTTTAATAAGATAAGATTCTTCTCACCAAGTGGGAATTTGTTTCAGCATGAGGTAATTAATTATTAATTAGTGGAAAATATAAAATGCGTGCATGTAATAAATTGTGTAAATGATATCGTACGTTTAGATTGGGCGTGTATGTATATTTTTGCTAAAAAATACGTTTGCTCTATCTTGTGGCGACAGAAGTTGTGCAAATAAATTTGCATATATAATTGGAGTTGACAAAGCAACATCTGATACGACTTTTTTGAATTTTTCTTTCAACTAGTTGAGGTATGGAGGCGGGGACAACTCTATAAATTTGATCCCACGTTAAACCAAAAAAAATTAAACTGTAAAGTATATTCACAAAATTAAAAAAAAAAAGTAAAAAAAAAAAAGTAAAAAGTTGCCGCGTGGCATCCTAATAGTTGTAGATTTCTCATAATAGATTAAATTAAAAATTTACAATGAGCGAAATGAGCGAAATAAATTGCTCTTACTCCAGTTTACACCATTAAAAAGTTAATCTAATTTGTTAAAACATTAGTTATTACTGGTGGAATAAAAACGCATGTCCTATCATAAGTTTTGCTCAAAAAATAATTACAATGTAAAAATAATTGCATCTTTCCCATAAGTTGCAACTTTTGGGAGGAATAGTTGCGTTAATCCTACATCAATTGGTATCAGAGCATGAGGTCTCAAGTTCAAGTCCCCATGGGTGCGCCTTGAAGGGGACATTTTTCTAAGGACGGAAGAATGATACAGGAGTATACTTGAACTTGAGAGACGACTTATGTGGTGTGGGCCTCGAAGAGGCGCCTGGGGCCGTCTGTTGGGTGCGCCCACAGATTCGTAAGGGATTCTTCAAAGTAAGAGTTCAAACGAATAGTGCTTAGAGTGGATTCCCGAATTTAGTCATGGGTGATATTTAAAAGATTTAATTGTGCCTCTCCCATTAGTTGTAACTTTTAGGAAGAATAATTGTGTCAATCTTACATCAGACGCAAAAATAAAGTAATAAATTGTCACAGCCCAAATGACGTCTAAATCTTCAAACGTTGTCTTTCTCATTAGTGTCAATTTTTAGGACGAGTGGTTGCTTCAATCCTACATCAGACGCCAAATTAAAGCAATAAATTGTCACAGCTCAAATGAGGTCTAAATCTTCAGACGTTGTATTAACGCTGATTTTGTTCTTTAATAAGATAAGATTCTTCTCACCAAGTGGGAATTTGTTTCAGCATGAGGTAATTAATTATTAATTAGTGGAAAATATAAAATGCGTGCATGTAATAAATTGTGTAAATGATATCGTACGTTTAGATTGGGCGTGTATGTATATTTTTGCTAAAAAATACTTTTGCTCTATCTTGTAGCGACAGAAGTTGTGCAAATAAATTTGCATATATAACTGGAGTTGACAAAGCAACATCTGATACGACTTTTTTGAATTTTTCTTTCAACTAGTTGAGGTATGGAGGCGGGGACCACTCTATAAATTTGATCCCACGTTAAACCAAAAAAAATTAAACTGTAAAAAATATTCACAAAATTAAAAAAAAAAGTAAAAGAAAAAAGAAAAAAGTTGCCGCGTGCCATCCTAATAGTTGTAGATCTCTCATAATAGATTAGTATATATAGATTATAGATTAAATTAAAAATTTACAAGCGGCATAAATTGCTCTTACTCCAGTTTACATCATTAAAAAGTTAATCTAATTTGTTAAAACATTAGTTATTACTGGTGGAATAAAAACGCATGTCCTATCATAAGTTTTGCTCAAAAAATAATTACAATGTAAAAATAATTTTTAATAAGAATGAAAAAATTAAGTACACATTTAAAATGAATTATTTTAATAGGAGTAAAAGAAACATATTCTAAAAAACGCGCTGTAACAAATAAATTGTAGAAGAATTTTCAAGAGAAATAAGCAAAAAAAAAAAAAAAACCAAAAAAGTAGGAGTTGACAAATGGCAAATGGAGAAGAAGGATGGAAAGAATCCAGCTTTCTTATGTATTTCATAGATTATAAATTGTAGATTATTGTTTATAAATGCATGAAAGAGCTAACACATGAGACTTGAGATTTGAGAGTTAATAAGAAGTGGAATATGAGATTGACCATCAAAATCCATAAAAAAATCTAAATATATATAAATGAGTTTTTAATGATTATATTTGTAGTTATTTATTAAATATAAAAATTTAATAATGTGATATGATAACTATAGATGGAACAAAACATTACAGAATATATATATTACATAAAGTCTGCTGCATCTTAGCTCAGCAGCGTTGGTGTGGGAGATCGCTGTGTGGTGGTATTTCGTGGTTTAACAAGAGAATGTCACTATCGTGCGGAAATTTATATAAACAAATAGAATGTAAATGTTAGACTGTTCAAAAGTATCTCATTCGATCTAATTAAAAGCAATTGCTAGCTAGCTTGCTTTTATTATTATTATTATTATTATTATTATTATTATTATTATTTTGTTGTTGTTGTTTGGGTAGAACAATTGCTAGCTAGCTAGCTAGATAATAGCAAAAGATCTCATAAAGAATTTAAATCCCGTTTTCCAGTTGACAAGCCAGAGAATTTAGAATATAAGCACAATTCTATATATATATATATATATGTATATATTTACATAAGTGGAATTCCTGTATAATTTATCTCAAGCCAATATCAATATGGCTTATTGGAGAAATTAATAGAAAAATCTCCACTAAAGAATATTGTTTTAAGATTGTGACTACATATTATGTGATTTTTCTTGATAAATAGCACCATAATAGACGAGGTATTTGTTGTTGTAATAAATTTTCATATATCAAATAAGACCCGCTCCGTAATTGTCTAATAAAAACCAACTCTCTTCCTAATCCTCAATAACCTTTTTCTTTAAGCAAAATGGAGGACAAAAAAATCCTCCATCGTTTTTTTTTTTTTTTTCCTCAGCAAAAAGGAAAAAAAAAAAAAAAAAAAAACTCTCTTTCTTGAATCATTTTCTTTTTATTCTTTTTTAAGGAAGATGTGTAAAGTGAGATTTTTGTCTTATGGAACACAATCTGTAAGACCGGTCATATACCACTATTTAAGGTTGAGGTGTAATAAGGCCTCCAAACATGAATAACATATGAATGTTAAAGTTTAACGTGATATCACAAAAAATATAACAAATTTAATTTATTTATTTATGTCAGACCAATTGTTATGCATTTTTGAAATATCGGTATTATAGTAAACACCCTGTAACATCTCAAATTTTTTTTTTTTTTTAATATATGTCATAAACATTGGATAAATGTTCAAAGGAAATGAGAGGAAATCACATCAAAGTAATTAGCTAAACACACAATTTTTTAATATTTTTTTCCCCCTCAACCGACACAAAAATTCCCGGCAAAATCATATTCATGGTCATCGTCTCTAAACACAGCTCCACGGTCCAGCCAGTAGAGCTGACCAAAAACAGAAGTCACGGCCATTATCCATAGCTTCTTCACCAAACTTCAAGTATAAATAAACACAGAATTCTTTACAAAAAAAAAAAAAAAAAAAAAAAATCCTCTCGTGTGCACAAACAAGGAACCAAGCTTTTTCCCTAGAAATTCCTTATTTTTCTTTCTTTCTTTCTGTAGAGAGAGAGAGAGAGAGAGAGAGAAGCATAAAAAAATTTTGGGCGGGAATCCGTTGGGGTTGTTCTGTCCTCCACCGTTGCTTTTAGTTGTTCTCCGTCTCAGCAGATTCTTCTCTCTTTTCAATCCGCCCATCTTTCCGTTGTCAACTTTTGCTCTTCATCAATTGCTTTCCAAGCCAAGAATATTCCCCTCTCTCTCTAAAATCACTTCCTTTCCCTCTCAGATATTCCCTTTTTCTCTCTCCCTCAAGTTTCTTTTCATTTTTTTTTACAAAAATTTTTATTTTTAACGATGCCTAATGCCTTGTTCTCCTCCTCCTTTATTTTCAATCCGTCGCTTAATTCCTCTCTCTCTCTCTCTCTCTGTGTTTCTGTTCCTCTGTTCTCTCTCTCTCCTCGTTTCCTCTCTCTTCTTTCTCTCTCTTTCTGTCCGTCCTTTTCGGCAAGGTTCGTATTCCGGCGAAGCCTATACATAACTCCTTTCCATGGCTTCTTCAGATGTCAACCATCTCTCTCAGCCTTGCATTTACGGTACTCCTCACAATTTCTCTCTACTTTTTCATCATTTGAATTCATCAGTTTTATTGTTCTGAGAAATGCTCTACATTTATTCATCATTTCAGTTCTTAGATATTTGTATGTGTGGTTGAATGTAAGATTATCTGTTTGATTACAGTTCATTTGTGTTGAACATGTTCAGAGAAATGCTCTAGAGTTTAAGTTAGTATTGAAATTGAATTTTGGTCTTCTTTTAATTTTTGATGTTTTTAGGCCCGGAAAGTTGGCTCTGAATTGCTTAATTTTGTTGTTTATTATTTATTTATTTATTTTTGGGGTTGCTAGTGGATTGGTTTTGAAATGGTTTTTGGTAAGCAGGGGACTTTGTTTCTTCGTACGCAGAGAGGAAATCGCGCTTTATGAAATGGCTGAGTAAGCTCTTCAAGGGTGGTTCCGGCGGTCGACGTGGAGGAAGTGGTGGCACTGGCCGTCAACCGCACGAAAACATGGCTTGGCGCACACCAATTAGATCCCTGGTTAGACTCCTCTTCTTCTCCTTCCCTCTTACCATGTAATGACCTCACAAATATTAATCATTATCATCTTTGACGCTCTATTACACTTTAGTCTGTCATTTTTGTAGCAGATTGGTATGATCTTTTAGTCCAATTTAGTTGCAATTTACAGATTGTCAAATATGACTGTCCATGACTTTTATGTTAGCAGGAACTGTTAAATGTTTGTCATACTTTGGTGTCCAGGCAACATAAATCTTTTATGCATTGGATTTAGCCACAAAATTGATAATGCCACGTTAGTTTCAGAATGTTTTGACCATATATCTCCCTGAAAAGATGGTGGTTATTATCAAGTACTCGTTATATTAGTTTCTTCTTTTATAAAATGTCATTTTCACCAAATTCTTCTAATCCAATTAGGATGAGCGCTCTAGATCTCAAAGGGAAAAAGACGAGTTAGAACATGCAATTGCTCTATCTCTGGCCGAAGATTTGAGAAGACCAAGTGGTATGTTTTGAATTGCTATGTTGCACATATGGTTGTATACTGTACATTCATAGGGCAAAACTGGAGATTTAGTTTACTCTTTATTTATTTTTTCCGATTCTCAGGCCATAGATGGCGGAGAGATCATGATGAAGAGCTTGCTCATTTGCCTTTTTATCCTCCGCACGCCCCTGCACGGCCCCATCAGCATGTCCCTCCACTTCACCTTCCTCCTGCCTATCCACATCACCCTCCCCATTCCTCCCAGCAGCATTATCCTTGGGGATACAAGTAAGATTTTTTACTCACAGTTGTAATTATTTATGGCTTAAAACAATAGGGTTGTTAACTTTGGTTCCTTTGTCATATTAATGACAAGCAACGACATAAATCAAATGGAATTGCTGCCATTATAATCCTCTTGGTTCCTCAATCTACAATATTTTGCTCAACTTGTTTACTGACTACGACCCTAGTCTAAATGGGAGGCATTTTACAAACTTATTCTTTCAAACAAGTTGGCAGTTCAGAATTAGTAGTTCAGCTTAATCATATAAAGTAACATATTAAGTCAAGCATTTACACAAATTTGCAAATGTTCGTGCAAAATCATCTATCACATGAGTCTCGACCAATCTTTCGTACAAAATCGTATATCACATGAGTCTTGACCAATCTTTCAAGTCTTGTGGTTGATTATTATTGTGTATTCCGTCTTTTCTTCTTTCTGGGGATAATCCAAGCTGCTCTTTGTAGTTGCTTGATTATGGTCTATGAAGTTTCATTATTCCTTCCAAACGTTTGAAGATGATAATTTGGGATGCTTTTAGGTTTGCTTGAATTACAGTTGAAGTTTGTTCAGTAGAGTCTCTTAAGAAAAAAGAACGGTTAACAAACTCTTGAATGTTGGAAGTGGTGTGTACTTCTTTGCAGAATATGTGGTGGCTGCAAACGTGAAATACGTTACGGCAATTATCTAGGATGCATGGGAACTTACTTTCATCCGCAGTGCTTCTGTTGTCATGCCTGTGAGCTGCCAATAACTGAGAATGAGGTATTTTGTTGTTTTTTTTTTTTTTTTTTTTTTGTCCTCCTAAGCCTCTTATAGGATTATTCTTTTTCATCTAGCTCTTACTCTTTTTTTTTTCTCTCTTGATCCTAGTTTTCTTTGTCAGGAAGGGATCCGTATCACAAGAGTTGTTTTAAAGAGCTGGCTCATCCTAAGTGCGATGTCTGCCACCAATTTGTACGAAATTTTTACTATAGCTCGTTTATACCTGTTTAGCATTTTGCAGTTTGTTCACTATCGCATCAGAATGTTTAGTTTTCCAATTCAAATCAAGCATGTTTTCATTAAATTCACCGACTTAATGATATGTCTTTCTCATTAGTACATTGGTGTCTATTGTTAGAATGTGTCTGGGTTCAGAGCACAAGTTTCATAATAACTTGAAGTTGAAGATGAATTCTTGAAATTTTGACCTCACCTTTTCTCGTTGACTCTTCAAAATAATGATAAAAAGAATACCAAGCAGTCACCATGGTCGATGGTTGATCTCAACGTGATTGTGTTAGACTTCTTCCTATGATTGTTATTGACAATAATGTGTATTGATTTCACAAATTTCAGATCCCAACAAATCGGGCTGGTTTGATCGAGTATAGGTGCCACCCATTTTGGTCTCAAAAATACTGTCCTGCACATGAACATGACAACACAGCTCGTTGCTGCAGTTGTGAGCGCCTGGAGGTACTAATCTAAGCCACTGGACTTGACCGTCCTAACAAATGGTGCTACTATCAAAATAATTTCTTTTCAATTTTTTTGATTAAACCATGAGTTCTTATACTATTTCTTTTCTTCTTCTTTAAAGTCTTGGGACACAGGATATGTTTCATTGGGGGATGGCCGTAGTATATGCTTCGAGTGCATGGAATCCGCTATCATGGATACTGGTGATTGTCAACCCCTTTACCATGCCATCAGAGACTATTATGAAGGAATGAACATGAAAATAGATCAGCAAATTCCCATGCTTCTTGTTGAAAGACAGGCACTCAATGAAGCAATTGTCGGAGAGAAGAGTGTAAGCGATCATTTCTTGCCATATGTTTGTATGTTTTAGTTTTTTCGGTTTGTGGAAATCCTCTAACACAAATGGCTTCTTTCCAGGGCCTCCATCACATGCCTGAGACAAGGGGTCTATGTCTTTCTGAAGAGCAGACTGTCACCAGTGTATGGTTTAGAAAACGTCCTATATCGTTTTTTATTTATTGTATCTCAAACCAAACGAATCTTGAGTAGAGGCACTGAAGCTATATTTTGTGCATTTCCTTTTTCCTCTCTCTACGATGACCAGATACTGAGAAGACCCCGAATTGGTGGCCACCAACTTATTGGAATGAGAACTCAGCCTCAAAAGCTGACCCGAAAATGTGAAGTAACAGCCATTCTTGTTCTCTATGGTCTTCCAAGGTGATTTTCCTGTTCTTCTTCCGGATTTACAGGACCGTCCTTTTTATTCTTTTTCAGGTTTTATAATCTTCTTCCAGTGTCCCAACATAATATGGTCTAATCTGTAGCTTGCCACATATTGATTTTTTCCCCCCTTAACTGACATTTCTTATTATGCCGTAATAGGTAGTAGTTCTAAGACCAAAGTTCTTGATGAGAGATGTTTTATAAATGTGTTGAAAAGGTTCAGGAAAAAGAAATTTCGTGATCGGAGTACCTTATAAACATCAAAAAGAATTTCATGACGTATAACGTTTTCATCATTTGCGCGAAATTCCTGGTTCTGAGAATTCTCATTATTTTAAATTTCTTCACTGGTTGCAGATTACTAACAGGGGCTATTCTTGCCCATGAATTGATGCATGGTTGGCTACGTCTTAAAGGTAAAATCCATCTGAAGCTTCCTTGAATTCATCATCTCGGATTACCTGCATTAAACTTAAAAACAAATTATGCAGGCTTCCGTAATCTTAATCCCGAAGTAGAGGAAGGTATCTGTCAGGTGCTTTCACATATGTGGCTTGAATCAGAAGTAATGCCAGGATCTAGAGGCATGCCTTCTACATCAGCAGCTTCATCGTCCTCATCATCGTCGTCAAAGAAAGGCGGAAGGTCCAATGCCGAGAACAAACTGGGCGAGTTCTTCATGCATCAAATTGCCAATGATGCTTCTCCAGCATATGGGGGAGGATTCAGGGCAGCCAATGCAGCCGTCAACAAGTATGGTTTACGTCGTACCCTGGACCACATTCGTCTTACAGGAAATTTCCCCTTGTAAAGTGAATTTGAGTATTCTGTACCTTACCTCTTTCCGTTATCTTTATGTGTTCATTGGAGATAGTACTTTCTCCTCAAAAAAGAATTAAGCTTCCCTTCAAAAAAAGGAAGAAAAAAAAAAAAAAGGAAGCTGCTGATGCTTGAGGAACCCCACAAATTTTCATGGGTTCCTATGCAAGGAATACAAGTTCGAAGATGACTCCTCCAATCTAATAAAGAAGAATATATATATTTTTTCATTTGACATTTGAATCCATATTTCACATTTTATTTGACAATTGCCTAACGTTACAATCTAATAAAGAAGCATATTTTTATTTTTCATTTGACATTTCACAAATTTTGAATGCGTTTTGGCTTTTGTTTGTTGATTACAAGTTTTCTAGTGGAAGATTGAAAACAACGCGATTTCAATTCCTGGATGCTAATACAGAGGTGAAAAAGAACATTGGCATTAATCCGCAAAAGTAGTGCCTTGTCGAATATCATTCTTGTTTTATGCGCGTCTTGGCACTGGTTTGACACTAGTTTACATAAATAAAATGCCAAATGTGATCAAAGGTATTTTGTCCAAACTAAAGCCAATAATGATTTATGGAGGGGGGAAAAAACTGTAGAGCCAATCACGCAGTTAGCTTCCAAATTTAGCAGTCTTCTTCCACCAACGAAACAACAAAAATCAATAGAAGCAATTTGGGAAAAGTGGACATCAAAATATCCCTATTTTAGAGGGTACAAATGAAGCAGCAAAAGACTACGCTAAAAACTTGGGAGTTCCATTGCAACGAAGACAACAAGCTATAGAACTAGTGTACTGAGTATACCTTTAATTTGTAAAATGGAGTATTGAATCTATACATCGAAAAATTTAGTCCCACAGTAGCATCCGCAATATAACCCCTATGAGAAATCCATTAAAAGAAATGAGCTCTGTCGTTAACATAACAGTCAGTTCAAACCCCCTCCCCGCCGTAGTTGCTTCCGAAGTTGCAGAGAAGCTCCGAGATTCGTAATCAGCTAAGATCAGCTAAAAGCAGCTTAAGGGTCTCATAAGTCATAAAACAAATTCCAACACCGGGCACGACCTTGTAGTATTCCGGCAGAATTCCTCGGTACAAGCCACGTAGACCTTCGGTCCGAAATATGTGCTTAAATGTGCCAAAAAGACCTGTTGTGTAGACACGGGCTCGGCCTCCTGCTCCCTCCAATTGTTTCCGTCTTCTAACAAGATCTAATGGAAAAGTTGCTGCACATTCATAGTAGAGAAGTGAACACAATAAAAAATTGAGCTGTGGCAAATCTTTCTATAGATCATTGAACAATGCTATTGGGCCACTAATAGAAGGTGGATCCCACAGCATGAGACCTGCAGATAGGACACATTATATTAGTTGTGGTGTTTAGCACTAGTGGTATTCCAAGCATTGCTTATATCCACAATGCTTAAAAAAGTTTCGGGTGTGTTCTTTTTTCACAACTCAAAACATTTTATGTGAGAGAAAACACTATAATAAAAAAGTTGGAAGTTGAATTTTTGTGAGAAAAAACACTGCAGCAAAAGAGTTTTGAGTTGTAATTTTTTTTTTTTTTAATTTTAATATGAAAGAGTTTGAGTTGTAATTTGAGTTGTGAAAAGAACATGGCTGACACTTTCTGGTTCTCAACATTATCATGAGAAGAAAGAAAAAACATCAACAAAAACATAGAATGAAAAAGGTCTAATGACAAATAAGAAAAATGCTTTCCACCTATATTATAAGTGTATCATACCATTAAGTTACAAATCACACATCATACAAACTTTTGAAGGTTAGTTCATGTTACACATCCATATGATCTCTTTGAAGAAAAAAGAACATTCCTGTTTAACTTGAGAAAATCACCCAAAAATCAGTAACTTTTTAGGTTACTGTCGGTAACAAGGGGCAATAGAAGGGTTCAGGCTCTACAAGTTATAGTTACTAAGATCTAGCTACAAATTGACAGCTTTAGTCAATATAGAATACCCTATCAAAACTTGGTACTGAGTAAATGCAACACTAAAAAAACATATCTAAGCCCCAAAGCTAACGGTGATATAAAGTATAAACATGTAGTTTTTGTAAAATTTAGCAAATTACAGTATCAGAATTTAGATTTGCTTTGAAATTGCAAGTTTGGTGTTTCCTGCTACACGATGCTGATGCATACAAAAGGAGCCACTTAATTCGAATTGGATCGATATTACGTCTTATTTAACATGAAACTAGATAAGTGATGCGCCTAATCTATATTGGATGTAGATCAATGAACACAGTACTCCCCTATGCACTGGTGAGACTTGGAGGATCCAACACCTGTGAAGCCATTGGAACAAAAAGGCCAAGTGAGAAGCATACCTCAAAGAGGACACCTCTCACAATCGATAACTGAAATAAGATAGGTTCACCTGAGAATAGTGCCACCCAATAAAGGAACCCACTGCAAGGCTTGGGGAGATACGTCATTGAATATATTAAATTAATGCAAGGAATATCTTCATGTAAAATTAGAGTTAGATGAACCAAAAAGGAAAAATAACAATTTCTTAATGGCTTTCCTTACTAAAATACTCAAATGCCATATTAAAAAAACCACTCCAGTCTGGTCTCTGGTTCTAGGGGTCAGTCTGTTTAGGTAATTGGTGCAGAGCCTGCACCACAGCTTGTTTCTCTGCATCAAAATCATAGTAAACAGCTATATTTATTAACTTCTATTTCAAAACAATGAGTGTCTAATTACAGAATTGCAACTAATTGAACCAAAAGATCATTAGCACTGCTTATTAATAGCACTGGATTCGGATGCACTGATTTGAGTCCCTAACAGGGAAAAAAACAAAAAGCTGTTGTTAACTAAGGGAAAATATCACAAGAGGAAATGTTGAGAAAAACGTGGGCCACCTAACGAGCACATAGACAAGCACAACCATGTAGCGAAGGTGATATGATGTTACCACTATGTCTAGTTAAAGAATAAAAGCTATTGTGTAATCATCCACAGTATGAAAGAAGAAGCATAACTATTAAAGCTTCCAAGGACTTTACAACCAAAAAATTATATGATCGCTCACCTGTTGAGGATGCAATGCCTGAAAGACTGCCGCAAGCCAGACTAACCAAGATAGAAGAATCATGAGGCCTGAGGTTAAAAACATGACACGATAATATTAGCATTATGCCCGATACAGAAAGCAATAATATTGCAATCATGAGAAGTTATATCAACACCCAGAATTGCAATCTAACTACCTATGTGACTGCCAAGAAGATCTCAAACTCTCATACACTGAGAAGCTAATAGCTATATTGGGCCCAACACCCTGCATTTTAGACACAAAAACAATCAGACGTATACCAAAAAGAAAACAATTAGCATAAACAAAGTTCGAATCAACATCAAAGCATACCAGGAGAGTTGCTCCAAGTCCTTTATAGAGTCCAAAAATACCCTCCTCACAGCTAATAGTTCGCAAAGCATGCCAAATACCTCGGTAATACATCGTATTCGTCTGCAAATTTCAAAACCCAATCGTAAGAAAAAACCATAATGTACACTATAAACCAACAAACAAAAGCAGCAATAGAGTTCTTCTCAATAAACAGTCACTGAAACTAGTAAACAAAGCGAGTATTTTTCTCTGCCAGCCATAATCTTACCTGGGCTGCGAGCCGTGTCCTCACAAGGTCCAAGGGATATGTGGCTGACGCAGCTGTTATTCCCGCTAAGCCACCGCCGACAAAATGTACACAGAGGTCCGTTTTCATACTTTGCCTACGGCTTTCTAGCCCCGGAATCATCTGAAGTAACTGCGCCGGATACAATTCATAGAAATCAGATATTGAATCACAAAACATGGAAAAGGACATTGTTAAAAAGAAGCATTTTGTAGAAACCTTTTTGTAGTGCTCGTATGCATAGAAATTGACAGAAGAATAGGGTAATCTGTGAGCGATTGTGACCAAATTTCCTTTCCAGAAAGCTCTAAATCCTTCTTCCCCAACGATTCGCGAAGCCTCCCGCCATATGCTGGCCTTTCTTAATGTAGTAACATCAGAGTGCATGCCTTGCACCTAAAAAAAAAAATGAAAATTCATAAAAATTAACAGGAGTCAAAATTTGGAAGAGAAGAAGCCAAACAGGGAGCAGAAAAAAAGGGAAAAATAAAAAAAATTAATTCACGAACCTGAAAGAGAATAGTGAGTCTAGCGAGTGGGGCCGTGCAGGTCTTGCTGAGAGCGCCGGCAACGCCTCCGGCGACGAGCTGCGACATCGTTCCGATCTGAGACTGCTGGTGCATCGACTGCTGCGGACGCTGTTGCGGCGTCAAACCTCTGACGCTGCCTTCGACGGCGACTCCGCCATGGACAGTATTCAGAGCTCTCTGCCCTCCTTCGACCACGATCCCCACTCTAGCCTCCGTCTGCATCCTTTAAAAAAAAAATCTCCGAAATCCAAAAAATCCTCCCCTTCTCTCTCTAGCTTCTCTCTCTAAAACCCCGGACGAACAGGAACTCCTGCGAAACCTAGATGGTAAATTATCAAAGCAATCATGAGACAATCGCTAAGCGAAACCCTAGCAATGAGATTCTTTCTCAAACTCCGATTCTCTTTCTACTTCTGGTGATGACTCCGATTCGTTTTTTGAGCGTGATTTGAACGCACAGAAAGTGCCAAAACGACGCCGTCCGCCCGCGGTTTCCGCTTCCCTTTACCACTAGGAAAATTGTGAAGTGAAAAAGCGGTGAAGCTTAGGTTAGCAAAATCCCTTCAAAGCGGTCGATTCCATTATAGCGGAAAAGTCCTCAATCAAGGAAAGCCGTCGACTTTATGATCTGTTGATCTTTGAGTATTGAAAGAATCTTAAATACCAGTTTTACTGGGTTTGTAGTAGAGACGAACGCAGAGGAGATTTCCCGGTTTCGGATCTGTTGGATTTGTTTTGGAATATTCTTGGCTTGGGGTTGGCTTACTGTCGACAGTTGTTTTTAACGTTGCTGTAAAAAGTCGGTTCAAGGCAAAGACTGCTCAGATGACGCCACGTGGTTTGACCTGGAAAATCTGATAACTCGAATTCTATTATGTTTTCAATTTTTAATAACCACCACCGACCAACCTTTGGCGCCAACCTAGGGGCGGGGGGTTGGGTCGCTATTGTCAAACACACTATTGTAGTCGAGGGACTACCAAAACGCCACATGCGTGAAAGTCGTTGTAAATTTGCCTTTTGTTTTCCAAATTTAATTTTGTGATGTCCCACAAAAATTGGTGTTTTACTCTAATCTAGTAACAGAAATTACTTCAAGCCAAATTAACTCCATGCGCACATTAAACGAGGTGTCAAATGTAATTGTCTTAAATTGCACTCGATCGTGTCTATTCTACAAAAATTAAAAAATATGCATTCCTTAACTTGTATTCTTTTTAGTTTAATTCATTCTTTAAAGTTGTGCCTCTCTCAAGTTAATAAAAAAAGACGAATTAATCGTAGAAATCTTACCGTCTTTTCAAAAGAATTAAGATCTATTTAATTAACTGATTTAAATTTTTAATTCAGCTTAAAATATGACATTATGTGAGAATTTTTTATTGTAAAAAAAATATGATTGCTTTTAAAATTTTTTTACTGTAATAAAATTTAAATCGGTAAATGAACAAAGCCTTCAACTTTCTATTCCCTCAATAGATTAACATTTTTAGATATCCATTTATTAATGACGTAAAAAAATCTTCCTCCCGTTGAAGTCTCTTTCCCGCCTAACAGCCAAATAGGTGCCTGCAGATCTTATTTGTAATGTTGATGCCTCCATCTCCTTCAGTGACCCAAAATCTTAACATATATCATAGCATATATAATAGATATATATATATATATATATATCATAAAATACAAAAAGCAAATTTTCCAATACTCATCTCACAATATCATGGGTTCGAGACATGTAATTCTTGCCCTTCATTCAAATTACAACTAATTAATCCATCAATCTGTAACCTTTTTCCCCTTCAAATTCAAAACCAGTTTTTGAAAGCCGCGGCTTCACAATTCGCCATATTGTGTTGCAGATTCAATGCCAAAGAAGCTGATGATCCTCCGGAGCTGCTATTGTTTTTAGAGTAATTGTCAACATAATAAGCTTCAACATTACTCCTCCCTTTGTCACGGCTATAACTACTATTATCATCATGGCCTTCATTTCTAGAGCGTTTGCTTGAGATTTCGCGACCCTTCGGAAGATTGTCGAAATTTGAAATCGGGGTTTCCAGCTTTTCCAGAGATGGAGTGTTGTGATTTCGGTTGATTGCGTCTGGAAGAGGGATTTGAGTTTTCTGTGCTTGAAGAACGTGGATCTCTTCCACCATTGGCTTCCAGAGTCTCACTCTTGAATTGATAAACCAATTGGAAATCTGTTACAACCAAATTATCATTATTTATTATTATTATTAATAATATTATTAATATTAATATTAATATTATTATTGTGCATTTGATACCATGCAAAACAAGAGATGAGAATTGGAGTAGGAAAAGACATGAAAGTGAGTTCACCTGAGCTCTTGATAGGCCTGTCTGTCGAGCTAGCATGTGCTTCTCTGAATCTGTAGGATAACTGAATATGACCAAGAAAATTAGAAATAAAAGATACACAAAAATCACGTTGGTGATATTTTTTTAATGAAAAGAATGGCAAACATATTGATCTAAAACAACATTTTGAGGAGTTTTTACTTCTTCAAATAATATAGAAAATAAATTAATAATTTAATCGAGATCATATTATTTAAAAAATGTAGGACAAATTGAAAGGATAAAAAAAAAGTTATGATAACTGAACGAAATGTGATGAAAATATAACAGTTTGCAACTACATCCTAGTCTCTTTTACCGGCATGAAAATTTTCAAAACGAAAATGTTACCACACAATACAAACCCTAATTAATCACATACGGATGCAGGAAGTGTTCGAACAGCCATTTCTTCAGCACGGCCACGGCGTGCTCCGGAAGTCCTCTTTGCGATCGCCAAATGGAACTCCGGAGATTCGGGAAGTTGTGAATCGGCTTTGAACCAAAACTTGTTTTAGGGGCCAAAAACAAACTCGGAGTTCCATCATCTTTGTTGACACGACTAACGTCAGCTAGATTGAAGTGAAGTTGGCCCAAAATGGCATTTTTTAAGCAACCGAAGTGGTTTGAAATGGCTCTGATTGCAGAAGTTATAAACGGAGCTGCATTTCCTAGCCCAGCAACTGCTTTAAATGATGTAACAACTGATTGTATTTGTTGGCAGTACAGCTTACATCTGTTGTAAACCTATAGTGGAAAATTTGATTTAGGAAAAAAAAAAAAGAAGTGAAAAACATATAATTACCATGTATCACAAATATTCCCGCCAAAAGTTGTTTGAATTAATGTTTTTTTTATAGAAGATTGTTTGAATTAATGTTGAAACATATGATCTTTTTTGTTTTGTTTTGTATATGTACTTAATACAGAAATTTTCTATTCTTTTGCTTATTAGCATTGTGTGTGTGATATGCAAATGACATTTTCATAATACAACAACACAAGTACTTATTTGGAAATCTATTATCAGACTGATAGGTGGTAATGGTGGTTAATGTCCCATCAAAAAGAAAGACTGAAAAGGAAAATCAGAAGGCTGCGGATAATTACTGGCTAAAACTTTTCTTAAAAAACAAGTAACACAGGATACATTGCATCAAAAGTAACACAGGTTTCAGATCGTATTCTCAAGAGAAAAGGAATTCAAAGGTTAGTACAAAAAATAAAATAAAAATTAAAAGATAGAGAGAGAAGAATTCAAAAAATAAAATAAAATAGTGCAGTTCACTTTTTTTTTCTAAAAGTAATTCAGTTCATCTTTGGACCCAAAAAAGTAGTCAAGGTCATGCTTTCAGATGGCAAAAAAAAAAAAAAAAAAGAAAAAAATTTGGATTATATAATTTTCTCGGCGAGAATTTCCCGTTCATTTCGTTGATTCGAGTTTTGTTACAGTAAAAAATTCTCAGAAACAGTCACATTTAATTTTTTTACTACAGTAAAATGCTCTTATACAACATCACATCTCAACTCAAATTAAAAACTTAAATTAACAAACTGAACAGATTATTAGTGCACGGGTAAATTAAATTTTTTATTTATTAAATTTATATATTTTTAATTTTTACATATAGTATAAAAAAAACTTACCCTATTCTTGTATTAGTATACCGGAAAATGTTTTTTTTAAGAAAAGAAAAGAAATGTCCCAAAAAAATTAAAAAAAAAAGGAACAGTGAAGGAATTTAATTTTGACAAGACAAGACAACTTTTTGCTGGTGCAGGGTACTGAAGCAGATCAAATCAAAAGATCAAAGCCCGAGATACTGATTCCCTGACAGTAACAATCTTATCATCATTTTTGGTTCATCCGAATGAAAACAAGCGACCTTTTTGCTTCAACAAAACATAGCAAAACAAAAGAAACTCCACCTTGGTCCTTCCATAATTTGCAACCTATCCTATTTAATATGTTCTTACACTTAAGTAGCTAAAACCCGCCCGCAAAAATAATTATACGCAATATCTATCCATCAAATTCTCATTAAATCTCCTTAAATTCGATAAAACCAACACTCTATTACAATGTCTCAAAAAAAAAAAAAAAAAAAGGAATGAAATGTGGCTAAAAAGTGGAATTAACAATCTTAAGTTTGCCATCCATTACCATTTTCCGGCTGCCGCAAATACAGATTCTCTTAGACATGCCTAATTATCCCATAAAAAAAGACATGCTTAATTATTAATTTACCTTTTTTGTGCTAAAAAATAAAAAAGTCTAGAGGTATTCTGCTGAAACTTTAGATGATAGTTATTTGATATTTAAATATGTTCTTGTCAGATTTTCTTCACATGATTTTAAGATAAAAACAATTTTAAAAAAAAAAATTAAGAGTCAAAATTCAAAAGATAATACAAACTTTGAAAGAAAAGTCTACATAAAAATAATGTACCAATAAAATATCTTTAAATTCAGCCAGAAAATTCACCTTTAATTATTTAAAACCAAAACATAACTTCATTATCAAAAGAAACGTTATAACTTAATTAAACTAATGATCAAGCTCTTAAAAAAAAAAAAGACGTTACCTCCTCCAGCATGAACGCAAGCCTCGAATCTTTCTTAAACTGATACGCCACCCGATAATTGGCCCATGCACTATGGCCAAGGCTAAGATCGTCCGTTGACGGATCTTCCAAGACCCGAAAACCTGACCCGCAAAAGTCTTCTAGAAGCTGCTGCGCGGGTTTGAGGAAGCTCGAGCGCTTCAGAATGGAGGCGTAGCCTGTGAACGGTCCCAGCGGAACAGAGCATCCGATGAGTTTATTATTGTCCGGTAACAAAACGGCGCCGTATCCGTGTAGCTGGTTATCAGAGAAAAGTTGGTAGAGTGGTGGGTATGAGTTGGAAACGGCGTCGTGTTTTGGGCTTGGGAAAGAAGTACTAGATGTTGGAAGTGGGAGTACTTGGAAAAGTTCGAAACTCTTCTGATCAGCCATGGATGAGTTTGAGTTAGAGAGAGAAAGAAGAGAGAGAGAGAGAGAGAGTTGTGAGATTGCAAAAATTGATGAAGGAAAGGAAGTAAGTACAGAGGATTGTAGCAGAAACTTGCGGTTATAGCAGAAACGAGAACAATAGTACTCAACTCTCTCTCCCAGTACGTAATGGTAGTCTTATACAGCGAGAGAGAAGGTTTTTCTTTCCCCAAAAAGAAAAAGAAATGAAATTGAAGAGAGAGAGAGGCTGGCGAAATTACTACTTACTAACACCCACCCACCACGGGGGAACAGATGATTTGCTCTCGCATCTAGTCTCTAGCATGCAGGTGACAGGGATAAGCCAGACATGTTAATTTACAGATTTAAATATTTAATTTGAGTTAAAATATAATTTTATATAAATTTTTTTTATTATAATAAAAATATTATATATAATGTTTTTGAGAATTTTTTACTGTTAAATTTATTAAAAAAAAAATACATTACCATTAGTAATTGTTAGAATAACATGCACATTCTATTTTTAGCCAAAAAAAAAACACACACACACACACATTCTACCAGATGATGTGTCTCATCCAGTGTCCTCCACGTGTACATTCTGACACGTGTCGCTCTTCCACAGCTACACCCACCCACAAACATTTTGGCGGCGGAGGACACTACTGACCCATTACATATATGTTCATCACTCTCCCCCATTTAGACATAACCACCTTTCTGCCCATATTCCTCTTTAAAAAAATATTTTCTTTTTTCTTTTTTCCAATTTTTTTCCAAAATGGGTTTGCTGGATCGAATCTCGGATCTCTGTGATTGCTCTCGTGGTGACTCCAAAATGCTGAAAAAACGCAAGCAATTACAGGTAGGTAATTAACGTTTAAAACCCATATTTTCTTGTCTTTTCTTTTTTTTTTTCCAGCTGTTTTAAGATTTTTATTTTTGGCGGGGGCGTGGTTGCAACAAAACTAGAGCGTGGAGATAAAAGTGAAAATGGACTGTGAAGGGTGCCAGAGGACGGTGAGGAAATCGGTTGAAGGGATGAAGGGAGTGACGCAGGTGGAGGTGGAGCCCAAGCAGAACAAAGTGACGGTGATTGGATACGTGGACCCCGCCAATGTGCTGACACGTGTCAGGCATAGAACGGGCAAGAGGGCAGACTTCTGGCCCTATATTCCCTACGACGTCGTTGCGCATCCGTACGCGCCCGGGACGTACGACAAGAAGGCTCCCGCTGGGTACGTGCGGGACGCGGCCGAGAACCCGGAGGCCTCCTCCCTCGCACGTGCCAGCTCCACCGAGGTCAAGTACACCACCGCCTTCAGCGACGACAATCCAAATGCTTGTGTTGTTATGTGAAATATATACTATAGTGCTGTTTGATTTATGGTTCGTTTGGTACGAGAATTTAAATTAGAATAATTTTAATTATGAACTAAAATTATGATTCATGATTTAAATCATGATTCTGAAATTATTATTCAAAATTAAGAGTTTGAATAATCTTAAATTAAGAGGGGTGATTTTAGAATTATGATTTGGACTAATTAACATCACATCAGATTTTAAATCATGATTTAAAATCATTCAAACTAAATACTGATTCTGAATCATAATTCTGAATCATAATTATAGATTCATCTACCAAACACACCCTTATTAATTTGAATCATATTATTTTTTTCTTAAACATTTAAAACTTTGTTTAATTAAATGGTCGTACATATACATATAATTTATATATGTGAGTTTTTTTTTTCCTTTTTTTTTTGTTTTTAGAAGAAATGTTTAGGTAGCAGTTGTGTATTAGAGTGTGGTGTTGAGTAGTTATGGTGCCTTTTAGTTTGCTTGGATTCTGTAGTAGATTAAAAGAAAGTAGCAGAATTTCATAGTTTTTATAGAATTAATTTTTGTAATCGGGGAGAAGAACTATTTCATGTTATTATGGATTGCTTGATATTTTTACTCTTCGCATACGGTTTATAAATGGTAGGATGTGGATAATTACCCGTTCACTTCGCTGATTTGAGTTTATAATTCTAGTTTTTCTACAGTAAAAGGCTCTCACAAACAATCACATCTAACTTTTTTGCTATAGTAAAAATCTCTCACATAAAATCACATATCAACTCGAATTATAAACTCGAATCAGCGAAGTGAATGAGGCCACATGATAAAGTTTTATTTTGGTACCTCTAAGTTTGATATCTTCTATTTTTAAAAATTTCATGTTTTTAAAAGGGATGCTTTTTGTATGGGTTAAAAAACACAGGGACTAATATTTTTATTTCAAAAAACTTATGTGTAAAAATTATATTTAGACAATGAAGGTATACTTTTTAAATTTTCTCTATTATTATTATTATTATTGTGAATGTATCATTTTTCCATTTCCTTCTTTGATGTGAAGTGGGGTTAATGAATTGCTCGTGTGAGAATTGGTTTGTAGCTAAAACTAATGGAGATGTATTACATAACATAGATTTCCATGATGAAAGAGGATCGTTCTCTAGCCTAAAAAAGGAGAAATGTGCTCTAACGAAAGTGTGAAGATTTGGTAAATGATTCTTTGATTGATATTGTTGGTTACGCCCACATGCTGGCCCTTCTGTTGGTTTTATGCCATCAATGTTGTTAAGATTATGACATTACCTCTTTTAATGAGAGTTAGTGATTCCTAATGATAATAATTGATGCACTTGTATTACATAGTGATGTACATTTTTGTTTTAATCCTATAATGTGACCCCCTTTTGTTTCTTCAATCTCTTTGTTGGCAACTCACTGCATTAAATAAAATAAAAACATTATTAGTTAACTGAAATACAAAGGATCTTTTTGTAACAATAGAAAATTAAATACAAATGTCCAAGTAAGTAACATTAAAAATCGAAGAAGGAAATAAGAAGAGAAAGAGAACACAAAAAAATTTAGAAAGTTTTTTGTGAGAGAAAATACTGTAGCGAATTATGAACCATAATTCAAATCATAGTTTGAATCCTTTAACCAAACATCCCTATGTGTTTCTACACTACTTTATATTAAAGAAAAATTTAGAAAGTTAACGATTTCAAAGGATTCTTAGAAATATAATTAAAAAAAAATACAAGACTATACAAGAAACTATATACAAATATGTTAATCGAATTTTTTGTTGACTAAACTAGAGGAGGAATACCTTGCGAAAAAGGGTAATTAATTGGTAGCAATGTGTCTTCGACGAAAGATTGCAATGACAATTATTTAGACCATTTTGATAATTTATTTATAATTTATGTTTGTTTTCATAAAAAGGTTATTTATTTATTTATTTGTTGGCAATTGATTACTTAAGGAATGAGGATAATTCTAAAATTATGAGTTCTTTTAACATCCTTACTAATACAAATGATATAATATACACGTAAAATTATATAGGTCTCGTTTATTTCACAGATTTGAGTTTTCAATTTTAGATTTATACAGTTAAAAATTCTCAAAAAATATTACGTCTTAACTTTTTTTTTATTACAGTTAAATTTTTTTAAAAAATATCACATCTCAACTCAAATTTATGAAGCGAATGAAGCCATAAAAAATAAGAGGTTCGGACGTTAAAAACGAGTACAATATCTATTTGTGCGTATTAGGAAAGAGTCCTCTTCATAAATAGTTATTTCTTAATTTCATCATATAAATTAAACGACATGGCGCTTCGGAATAGCATACTGGCTATGGTATCCCAATAACCAAACAGACTCCATTCGGAAATACACAAAAAGGGGAATTCGAAAACCACGCGTTTTTATTATCCCACTCTTATTTCCAAACACACCCAATCAGTCGGTCTATAAATAGCCCCTCTAGGTATTCGTAGCATACTGGCTATGGTATCCCAATAACCAAACAGACTCCATTCGGAAATACACAAAAAGGGGAATTCGAAAACCACGCGTTTTTATTATCCCACTCTTATTTCCAAACACACCCAATCAGTCGGTCTATAAATAGCCCCTCTAGGTATTCGTAGCATACTGGCTATGGTATCCCAATAACCAAACAGACTCCATTCGGAAATACACAAAAAGGGGAATTCGAAAACCACGCGTTTTTATTATCCCACTCTTATTTCCAAACACACCCAATCAGTCGGTCTATAAATAGCCCCTCTAGGTATTCGTAGCATACTGGCTATGGTATCCCAATAACCAAACAGACTCCATTCGGAAATACACAAAAAGGGGAATTCGAAAACCACGCGTTTTTATTATCCCACTCTTATTTCCAAACACACCCAATCAGTCGGTCTATAAATAGCCCCTCTAGGTATTCGTAGCATACTGGCTATGGTATCCCAATAACCAAACAGACTCCATTCGGAAATACACAAAAAGGGGAATTCGAAAACCACGCGTTTTTATTATCCCACTCTTATTTCCAAACACACCCAATCAGTCGGTCTATAAAAAAAAAATACTGTAGTAATATAATTTGAATCATAACTTGAATCATGAAATGAAAAAGATCTTAAGTTATTTTTTTCTTTTTCTTGTCCTTTGTTTTAAGGAGATTTTTAGGTTTTAAGCCGATAGTTTTCTTTTTTAAATTTAAATTTATATAAGAAAAAAATACTGTAGTAATATAATTTGAATCATAACTTGAATCATGAAATGAAAAAGATCTTAAGTTATTTTTTTCTTTTTCTTGTCCTTTGTTTTAAGGAGATTTTTAGGTTTTAAGCCGATAGTTTTCTTTTTTTAATTATTAAATTTACATATAGAATTATATATTTTGCATTTTTTATTTAGTTTAAGCGATGATAAACATATATCTATACATACTTAAAAGAATCAAAGAGTTAGCATCCAAGGATACTATATGTTGGTTTCTATAAACCACTTTCTTTTTTTATTGTTTTTTTATTCTCTATTTTTCTTTCTTTTTTTTTCCTGCCTTTTGCCTTTCCCCCCCCCCCCCCCCCCCCCCCCC